CTACTATGAACATATCCATGCATGCAAACTAGAAAACCAAGAGGAAGTGGATACATTCCTGGAAACACATAACCTCTCAAGATTGATACAAGAAGAAATTGAAACCCTGAACAGACCAAAAATGAGTTACAAAATTGAAAAACCTACAACCAAAAAGATCCCTAGACCAGACAAATTCACAGCCTAATTCTACCACATACATGGAAGAACTGGTATCAATCCTGCTGAAACTATTCCAAAAGACTGAGGAGGGATTCCTCTCTAACTCATTCTATAAAACAAATATCATTCTGATACCAAAATCTGGCAAAGACACAACAAAAAAAAAAAAAAAAAACTAAAGATGAAATTCCTAATAAACATAGATGCAAAAAACTTCAACAAAATACTAGCAAACTGCATCTAGCAGCACATCAAAAAGATCACACACCATTATCAAATAGCCTTTATTTTTGTGATGCAAAGTTGGTTCAACAGATGCAAATCAATAAACATGATCCACTACATAAACAGAATTAAAGACAACAACCATATGATCATTTCAACAGATGTAAAAAAAAAGTGCTTGATAAAATCCAACATCCCTTCAGGATAAAAACCCTCAGACACCTAGGCATTGAAGAAACATTCCTCAAAATAATAAGAGCCATCTATGACAAACCCATAGCCAACATCATACTGAATGGACAAAAATTGGAAACATTTCCCCTAAGAACTAGAATAAGACAAGGATTTTCAGTCTCACTACTATTTAACATAGTACTAGAAGTCCTAGCCAGAGCAATCACACAAGAGAAAGACATTAAAGGCATACAAATAGGAAAACAGAAAGTCAAATTATCTTTCTTTGTAGATGATATGATTCTATATCTAGAAAACCCTGAAGAGTCTACCCAAAGACTCCTAGATCTGATAAACGACTTCAATAAAATTTCAGGATACAAGGCCGACATTAAAATATCAGTAGCATTTCTACACATCAATACCCATGAATATATCTAACTAAGGAAATGAAAGATCTCTACAATGAGAACTACAAATCATCAATGATACTAATGAAGAAACATTCATGATCATGGATTGGAATAATCAGTATCATTAACATGTCCATACTGTCCAAAGTAATCTACAGATTCAACATAATCCCTGTTAAATTACCAGTGTCGTTTTTCACAGAATTAGAAAAAAACATTCTAGAATTCATATAAAACCAAAAAAGAGCCTGAATAGAAAAACCAATCTTAAGAAGAAAAAAAAAAAATCAGAGCCATTATATTACTTCACTTCAAACTTTACTGCAAGACTACAGTAACCAGACAGCATGGTACTGTACAAAAACAGACACATAGACCAGTGGAACAGAACAGAGATCCCAGGAGTAAAGCCACTCACCTACAACCCCAATTGACTTTTAACAATGTCAACAAAGACAAAAAACAGGGAAAGGACACACTTCATTAAAGGGTGATGGGAACATCGGCTAACAATCTGCAGAAGAATGAAACTAGATCCCTACCTCTCACCATATACAAAAATTAACTCAAGATGGATTAAAGACTTAAATGTAAAACCTCAAAGTATAAAAATCCTAGGAGTTCACTCTTCTGAACATTGGCCTAGGCAATGCATTTATGACTAAGTCTTCAAAAGCAAATGCAGCAAAATCAAAAATTGACCAGTGGGACCTAATTAAACTAAAGAACTTCTGCACAGGGAAAGAAACTACCAACTAAGTAAATAAACAACATGCAGAATAGGAGAAAATATGTGCAAACTATGCACCTGACAAATGACTACTATCCAGGATCTATAAGGAACTTAAATTAACAAAGGAAACATAATAACTCCATTAAAAAGTGGGCAAAGGACATGAACAGACACTTCTCAAAAGACATACAAGTGGCAAATAAACATATGAAAAAATGCTCAAAATCACTAGTCAACAGAGAAATGCAAATCAAAACCACAATGAGATACCATCTCACACCAGTCAGAATGGCTATTATTAAAAAGTCAAACAATCAAACAAACAAACAAACCAACAAACAGATGTTGGTGAGGCTGCAGGGGAAAGGGAACGCTCATACACTGTTGGTGGGAATGTAAACTTCTTCAGCTCCTGTGGAAAGCAGTTTGGAGACTTCACAAAGAACTAAAAATAGTATTATCACTTGATCCAGCAATTCCACTACTGTGTATACATCCAAAGGAATAGAAATTGTTCTACCAAAGAGACACTGCACTCATATGTTTTTCGTAGCACTATTTACAATAACAAAGACACTGAATCAACCTAGGTGTCCATCAATGGTGGATTGGATAAAGAAAATGTGGTACACAAACACACCATGGAATACTGTGCAGCCATAAAAAAAAAAAAACCAACAAAATCATGTCCTTTACAGTAACATGGATGCAGTTGAAGGCCATTATTTTAAGTGAATTAACATAAGAACAAAAAAATCAAATACCATATGTTTTCACTTATAAGCAAGAGCTAAACACTGGGTATACACAGACATTAAGATGAAAACAACAGACACTGGGAACTCCAAAATAAGGGAGGCAGAGAGAAGGCAAGGGCTGAAAAACTACCCATTGGGTACCATGCTCACCATTTGGGTGACAGGTTAGACAGAAGTTAAAACCTCATCATCACATAATATATCCATGTAACAAACCTGCATATATATCTCCTGATAAAAAACAAAAAATAAAAATCAATAAAAATTTACAAAATCAATATATAAAACAAATATTCACAGCAAACTGGAAACTACCCAAATGTTCTTCAAGGGGTGAATGATTAAACAGACTCTGGTATATCTCTACCATGGAATTCTACACAGCAGTAAAAAAGGAACATTCTTCATACATGCAACAACCTGCATGGATCTCCAGGGCATTATGTGGAGTGGGGGGAAAAGCCAATCTCAAAAGATCATATACTGTATTATTTCACTTATATAATATTATTGAAATGGCATTGTCATTTCATTCGCCTTTGCATCTGGTAACCCACACTCTCAGCTCTAGGTAGGACCATATTAATGGCCAAATTTTCAAAAAGGGTTACAAGAAGTGTAAAATGTCAAAAGTCAACTCTCTATTTTCAATGGAAAGTTACTTGGTCCTGTATATGTTAGAGGGGATGGGGAAGAAAAAGACTAATAAAATAGGGTGAAAAATAAACATAATTTAATCAGGTTCTGAGCATCCAGAGTACCTACTGAGTGACCAAATAGGAACAGGAAGTAACCTCAGAGGGTCACTGAATGCAAAGACTCTTAACTGTGTGCAGGGTAAACCTCCTTTCTTGCCTTCATTCTGCTATACAGAAGAAAGACAGTACTACCTTGCATATTAAGTTTAAGACAAGAGACTGTAAATTTTCTTCTTCAGGTATATATTCCCAAGAAGGGATTAGTTTCCTTAATTCAAGCCTTGAGATTCACACCAGGAAGTTACAATTCTAACCATTCCAAAATTTACAATGTAAAAACAGTCTTTAACACAGCAACCCTTCTTACAGGTGGTACAGCACAGTAGTTATGAGTACAGACTCTGTGGCATGACTGCCAGGGTTCAAATCCTAGCTCATCCACTTAATGCTCTGTGACCTTGGACAAATTATTGCTCCATGTCTCAGTTTTCCCAACTCTAAAATGGAGATAAGAGTATTATCTCCTTTATAGGAAGGTTAAAAGAATTATCTGAATATATGCATGGTATCTCCAACAAAGCCTGCAATATAAGTGTTAGTTATTATGCCCCACATAGGTTCTGCAGACCTACCTGGATCTCAGGCTGAGACATGCTAGCCCATAAATGATGCTGGTGGCAGTGGTCAAGACCAGAAATTCCTGCCTATTAACAATACAAAACTCCCAGATGGAGATGATTTTCTCAAATTCTAGTTTTTTCTTCCAACTCCAAGGATGACAAGGAATTCCTTGGTCGTTTTCTCTCCTCCAAGCTACTTACACTCTGCACCTATCTCGTATATTCTACATTCTAGAGAAGGGAATACAAACTAAGAGCCAGCAGAGACATAAAATAAACACTGCCACCTTGTGGCTTTTCAGGGAATTATTCTTCACACCCTTGCAGTACTCTAGCCTTCTCCTGTTCCCAATCACAGCCACCCTCTGCAGACCTGAAACTGTGGCAGATGGCCAGAGCACCTCCAGTGATGCACAGCACAACACTTAGAGCTGAAGGGCCCTTGGGATAATCTGGCAGAGCGTCTTCATTTAACACTGAGGAAAACTGAGACCCAAAGACCTGAGAGAACTTGTCTTAAACCCAAGTCAGAGTTGGGCCATATGTCTCTTGAACCCCGTTCCAGTGATCTTTTTACCATAAGGTGATGGAGCTCACAGACACAATTTGGAACGCAAATGCTCTTTTAAAAAAAAGTCTAACTCAGGTCAGTGCCCCCTCTGTCCTGACACAGTTGCAAAACCACAGGGAGGAGACGTCCATGAGAATGCAACAGCTGAGGGTTACACAGGAAATGTCACATCTTTTGTGCACTCAAGCAAGAAGAGACACAGCATACAGCTTCATCCTAAAACAAAACTCTAATTGACTCTTTTTATTTCTTGCTGGTGAGCTTATTCTTCAAGTTCTGTGCTTTAATTCAAAGGAACATGAAATGCTCAGTGCTGCCAGGGGCTATAGGTCTATTCTCTCTCCTGCAGTTTTAAGACTTTCTGAATTTTTGACCTAATGTCACTGCTCTAGCAAGATCCAGGCATTCCTAATTCCTTGTGTGTTTGTACTGACAAAAATTTTAACGACATTTTTCTTCTGGAGAATCCAATATTCCGAACTTTTACTTACTGATTTTTTAAAAAATTTTAATCTACCTCCCCCAAACAAAACAAAACATTGCAAAAACCTTTCATGAACTAAGCTTTAGCATATCTTGCATGGGCATATTGAGCATTCTCAAGAACAGTGACAACTGACATGTTTGGCCTTGGTTCTGAACCAACCTTATGTTAAGCCATGACAACATGGGTGTCGTGCCTCCACCAATGATCCAGACAGTGAAGAAGACGATGAGGAGCGTGGTGGTGAACATCATCTGGCGAGCATAGGATGCCGTGTCACGGATGGCCAATGCAAATGCCATCGCTCCCCTGAGGCCTGCAGGGACCAAAGAGGAAGATCTACTGGTTATAAAGATAAATGACAATGTTTCATCAAAATCCACTGCTGCCACTTGAGGCTAATAAATTAATCATTCATGCTCCAGGGGTCAAGCTGTTTTACCAGGAAAGAAGAAACATAAAGGCATATGATTTTCCTATATTTGAGGCCGTCTTTTGCAAAATTCCCAAATACAATGAAAAAAATGTTAGAATGCATTGTACAGCATGTTTTAGAATAATAACATTCTTATTAAATGATTCTCCTGCTAGTAACATGAAAAGAAATATAAATGTCATAATAATAAAAGCTAAATCTGTGATCCAAACATAATCCAAGTACTACACAGTCAACATAAACTTTAAAAAATAGGCTAGGTATGAATATGTCAAATTTGCAGAAAAGAATTCAGCATTTCCTTAGCAAAGGGGGAAGCCATGCAGAGAAGCGAAAATATAACCTGATCTACATCAGGGGTTGACAACTCTTTCTATAATGGGCCAGACAGTAAATGTTTAGGCTTTATGGGTTAAGAGGAAAACTCAAGAATATTATGTGGGCACTCATATAAAAGAAAGAAAACAAATTTCCTCAAATTTTTATTAATAAAAATAAATATATATACATACAATTAAGCATACTTTGTTGTGATGCAGGTCTATTAATTTTAAAAGGGTAATTCTTAGGCCGGGCTCGGTGGCTCAGCCTGTAATCCCGTGCCTTTGGGAGGCCGAGGTGAGTGGATTGCCTGAGCCCGCAGGTTCGAGACCCGCCTGGGCAGCGAGACCTCATCTTTACAATAAATCAAAAAATCAGCTGGGCGTGGTAGCACATGCCTGTAATTCCGGCTACTTGGAAGGCTGAGGCAGAAGGATCGCCAGAGCCCAGCAGGTCAAGGCTGCGGTGGCCGGGAGCGGCCACTGCACTCCAGTCTGGGAGACGGAGTGAGACTCCAACTCAAAAAAAAAAAAAAGGGTAATTCTTTTTGGAGGAGATAGTTTGCTTAATTGGGTTTCAAAGTTTAGTGTTCCCTATCATTAAAGAGATTGCAAATATTCATCCATAAAAGGCATTCTTAGCTCACAGGGTATATGGAGACAAGAAGCAGCCAGACTTGGCTCAGGGGTTGTAGTTCGCTAATCCTTATCTATACTAATGAACTTTAAGATTAACACCAACATTTAAATGTCTTAGAGTTTATCTTTCTAAGTGCTTTTGTTCTTTCCCCATACCATGTTTATAATGTGTTTTACGGTAAAGACTGAACCTATAGCCTTTAGTACAAATCTAGTACATAGTTTTATTTACCATGGGCATATGATGTAAGAGAATGAAAAGGCAGACTTACTAACTCTGTTTTTACATTTTGCTCTCTTTCCCAATAATTTCACAATTATTAATATATATAATCTGAGTGCTTCACTACAATTCATTAAAGAAAAGTGTCCCAATAAAAGTTATTAAAAAACCCACAAAGCTACTGTTTTTGATGGATCTGTTCTGGTGAAATATTTACAAGGGGAACTCCCCCAAAACAGATTTACTAACAAAAAATTGTGTATTTCTTCTTACATGTTTAAACTTCAGTCACCTTCAAAGTACTCTCCACTTGATGCAATACACCTATCGAGACACTTTTTCTATCACTCAAAAGTTTTTGAACTCATCAATTTCAATGTCTTTTAGAGCTTCTACCGTTTTTTGGTTCACCTTTTCCACGTAGGCAAAACGTTTCCCTTTGAGGACTTTTTTTGTCCAGGGAAACACAAAAAAAGTTGCTTGGGGCAAGATTGGATAAATGGGAAGGGTGGGGGCATGGGGTCATGACATTTTTGGTCAAAAACTGCTGAACACTCAGCGCGGTATGGGCAGGTGTGTTTACCCATCATGAAATGGGTAAACCTGTTGAAAGAATCTCAAAAAAAAAAAAAGATAAAAAAAAAACCCTGAAGCCAAATGCAGCCTCTCAAAACAATGGTAGCTGGTACACTGATGCCAATGGATTCTTACTAGCACTTACCTAGTAAGGGAGGCCTGTACTACAAGGGGCCCACCCTCTAAAAGATAATTCTGGTTTTGGGGGGGTTCCCCTTGTATACACATCTAGGTCACCATACAGCTAGCCAACTATGTCATCAGTCAGTAATTAAACCACTAAAGGGATGTTGCCCCAAAGAAAAAAAACTTGGGGGTCAGAGAGAGACTATGTATGATGCCTTTTTCTTTATTTTATATATTTTTATGTAATTAATTTTTATTTGTATTTCATTAATTTTTATTTTTCTGTCATTAGGTAAACAACATGAAAGCAAAACCTCAGATATTTCATAGCCTTGAAGAATGAGCTCCTTTTGATAGTCAGATTTCTCCCAGCATAAAACACATTTTATTGGTGATACCATTAAACAGCACTGTGTATTTCTCAGTCTTTTAGCATCAAAGCTGATGAGCATATTTTAAGCTGGCCTAAATGACAGGGTTAGCACCACTCATCTTTCTCTTATTAACTAGCATCTTTCTAATAGATACATAAGAGTTGTCACTGCCTTCCTCACCCAGCTCTGAATGTGTCCCCACTGCTATTGAGTAAAGCCCAAACTCCATTTTTAAAAATTTTGTTCTTAAAGATGTGGGATACAATTCAGGTTAGGTATACAAATGTTCATTATGTAGGTACCCTTGTTGATGAGGTGTTCCCCTCCCTCCCCTGGCAGTTTCCCTCAATTGCCAATCCCACCCTTTTCCTGGCAGTTTCCCACTACTGCCAGTCTCTTTCTTATAGTATTACGATAATTGTTCAAGGTCCACTTATGAGTGAGAACGTATGGTACTCTGTTCTTTGTTTCTGTGACAGATCACTGAGTATAATCGACGCCAAATCCATCCAAGTTGCTGCAAGGTCCATATGTTTCTCCTTTATGGCAGCACAATATTCCATTGTGTACATGTACATTTTTTTAATCCAGTCCAGCTTTGATGGGCAGCATGGTTGGTTCCATGTTTTTGCTATTGTGAATAGAGCTCCAGCAAACATATGTGTGCAGGTATCTTTCTTGTAGAATGATTTGAGTTCCCAATAGGGGAATTGCTTGGACATATGGAAGGTCAATTTCTAGTTCTTTCAGAAATTGCCGCACTGTCTTCCAAAGAGGTTGCACGAGTTTGCATTCCCACCAGCAGTGTAGAAGCGTTCCTTTTTCTCTGCATCCTCACCAGCATCTGTTGTTGTTTGTTTTATTAATGATGGCCATTCTTACTGGGGTTAGGTGGTATCTCAGTTTGGTTTTGATTTGCATTTTTCTGATGATGAGTGAGGCTGAGCACTTTTTCATGTGTCTGTTGGCTGCCTGTATCACTTCTTTTGAGTAGTGTCTATTCATGTCTTCTGTCCACTTTTTATTTTTATTTATTTATTTATTTATTTATTTATTTTGAGTTGGAGTCTCACTATGTCGCCCAGACTGGAGTGCAATGGCCGCTCCCAGCCACTGCAGCCTCAAGCTGCTGGGCTCCGGCGATCCTTCCGCCTCAGCCTTCCGAGTAGCTGGAACTACAGGTGCGCGCTACCATGCCCGGCTAATTTTTGACTTCTTGTAGAAATGAGGTCTCACCAAGTTGGCCAGGCGGGTCTTGAACCCGCAGACTCAGGCAATCCACTCACCTCAGTCTCCCAAAGCGCTGGGATTACAGGCTGAGCCACCGAGCACGGCTTTCTGTCCACTTTTTAATGGAAGCCCAAACTCTTTGGGACAGCAATGGGGCTTCTCTGTAGTCTCTCCACTCTACAGTGGTGGTTCTTAAAGTATGGTCCTCAAACTATCAGCAGCAGCAGCAGCCGCAGCTGAGAACATATTAGAAAAGCAATTTGTGGGGACCACCAGAATTAGACTCTCTGATAGTGGGGCCCAGCAATCTGTTCTTTAACAAGCCCAATAAGTGATTCTGATGCAACTTAAAGTGTAAAAATGAACACTGGGCCCACATGGCAGGACTAAACAATTAGAATATGATTCAGAAATCAGATAGTGAAAGACATACTTGGCAAGGTACAGGAGGGAATCTAAAATATACAGCAAGGTGTACTCCTACGCCCAAAAAGCTAAGGGGCTTATTCTATATTGATGTGAGGAATGGCTTACTTTATGACAACCACATGTGAGATTATTTCCACTGCCACTAGAAAACCCCAGAAGGGTTTTTGTCTTAATTTATTATTTTACTTACACACACACATATACACACACATATAAATGCAAGACAAATTTTTATTTTTTATTTTTTTTTGAGTTGGAGTCTCACTCTGTCGCCCAGACTGGAGTGCAGTGGCCGCTCCCAGCCACCACAGCCTCAACCTGCTGGGCTCTGGCGATCCTTCCGGCTCAGCCTTTCAAGTAGCCGGAATTACAGGCATGTGCTACCACGCCCGGCTGATTTTTTGATTTATTGTAGAAATGAGGTCTCGTTGCCCAGGCGGGTCTCGAACCCGCGGGCTCAGGCAATCCACTCACCTCAGCCTCCCAAAGGCACGGGATTACAGGCTGAGCCACCGAGTCCGGCTGGCAAGACAAATTTAATTCAGGATTAATTGTAACCTCCTGAAGCCAGCTCCTTTGGGGTCAGGGAGAATAAATATATATATATTTTTTAACATCACCATAGTTACATTCATCTTCTACTGGAATGACTAGAGCTCCCAGGCAATGGAATGGCTCCTGGGAGCAAATAGGCTCTCTTGCTTTTCCTCATTGGTCATAAATTAGCATGGTTCCTCCCTAATCCCTACTCAAGCAGGTCCTTAGTAAACAAAGTACTGACAAAAACCCAAGTTACTACCTCACAGCAATCTTAGATAAGAGAGAGCATCCTCTAGGCTTGGACTGAGAACTCATGCCACAGAGGTGCTATTCTGACTAGATTGTATGGAGAGAGTGAGTGTAAGAGACACAATGGCTAACATGAAAACGGGAGCCACTAATCCCCTTCTGCAGGTACAACTTAAGATGTCTACAGATGAAGTCAGTGTAACACGTGCAGGTGGGAGGTGTAGAGGAATGGGATGGGCAGGGAGGGTGTTCCTAGGGCTAGAAGTCTGCATGCTGGTTTTCACTTGTTGGCCTTGCCCCAGGCAGTGACATAGCCTTATGCACAGTCTCTTCATCCCCCAGGAACTGCATGGGCTTGACGGACTTCAAGTTCTTGCTCAATTCATAGACAATGGGAATAACAGCTGGCAGGTTCAACTCCATGACAGCCTCTTCAGAGAGACCTCCAAATGCTTGATAATGCTCTGAAGGCTGTTGCCATGGGCTGTAATCTATACCCGTGTCCCCTTCCTTGGCTTGGAGAACTATTTCTTAATTCTCAAAGGGCAGAGCTCTGGCAATAATGTCCTTCAGATTCTCATAAGAGGGTGGCTGATCTTCAGTGAGGGCTGCATACCTGTGATCCTTACTGATACTGCCATAGGAGGGGTGACCAGGCTCCCTCAGAGGGGGCGGGACATCATAGGAGCACCTCCAGAACTTTTCCTGGGCCTTGCCAGGCTTGGCAGCAGTTTCTGCTTGGCAGCAAGAAGAAACTTCTGCTTTATGGAACACAGGCAGACCCCCATAGTGCTGCTTATTGAGGTGTCAAATGCTCATTATGAACAGCCACATCTGGTCAATGTCATCCAACGGTCCAGATCACTCTCTTCTGTACTGAGGTAAAGCAGATGTCAAACTAATAGCCAGGACGGCACCTGCCTGCTACACTTTGCCACTTTGTGGCCCTCAGGCCTCGGGTCAGCACTGTACCATCCGCTGAAGCAGTTCTTCGTGTTCCAGGTGCCCTCTCCATGCCAGATCAGTACCAGCTTGTGGGCAGCCATGGCAGCATATCAACCTCACCCTTTCTATGTGTCTGACATTTCTACCAGACTGCTGCCCTTCCCTGAACAAGCCACACATGGCAATACTTTTCCGTCTTTCCAACCTGCAGCCTCCTGCAATCCTATGTCTTCCAAGCCCAGTTTGAAGGTTACTCCCCTATTAAAGACATCCCTGTCCGTGTTTTCTTGTCCACATTTCTTCCAAACCTCTTTCATGCAATTCACCATCCTTTCTTGGGAGAAAAATAGCTCTTTGTGCACCTGCCTTCCCCCAGTGGACTGTGAGCTCTGCAAAGGAAGCCGGTCTTTGTACCCTCTACAACCTAGAACTATAGCTTATAAAAAAAAAAAAAAAAAAAGAAAGATGATCAATAACTGTCTAAGTAAAAGGAAATCATTTTGGCAGGCTGTACCTATATCTAAGTTCAGAAGCAAGCTAGTGCAAGACAAAGCTAGTGCTTTACTGAGCAGTGCCTATTGCTTTGACCTTGTGAGGCCCGTAAGAATGACTGCATGACAGTAAAGGCAGTGGCTTCTCACTCTGCTCTCTTGTACATTCCCTCCCTTTTCCACACACAGGACAGAGGTATGTTTAAGGATCACAGTGGCCTTCTGCTCCCAAGGTCTCCCTCTTGGTTGTGCAGAGATGTTCTAAACTTGAGTCTTGTTTATACAAAGCTGACGCTTACCACCCTCACTGCATCAACCACTCACGCCATATCTTTCTTTGTTGTTCTCTGTCCCATCAGTGGCTTCCCAGCTTTACAATGTAAAGAGGGGCATGTCAGGAACAGTGTACGTCAAGCAGGACTATCACAGTTGTTAAATCCTGGCTTTGGGTTCCTCTTGCTTACGTGACTGTATTTTATTTTTTTGCTCCACAGAAATGAGAGCTGGGAGGATGTCACCTAATTAGTTCAATTTCATTATTTTACAAGAGAGGATACTACAGCTGGAGGTGTAGAGTGACTTGGTCCATGTTTTTTCTCATCAAGAGCTATTTTCCTTCTAATTTTAGGTCTGGTACCCTTCTAGAGGCTTAGGGGTTATGAACCTCTACAAGAAAACAATCAAGCACTTTAAATACTTGTATATCTCCAGGACCCTTGGGTGATAGAGATGAAACAGAGATATGGTTATTTTAGGAGAGAATGTTCACATTTGGTAGTATGAATGCAAAATCAATACTAACTCAGTTGAACGTGTACATCTGTCTACTCAGCACTGCAGGGGATACAAATGAACCAGAAACTTGAATGCTTGCCTTTTTATAGGCCTTATCAATTATATTTTAATCATATTACCACTGTCTGCTGAATAAAACTCATTCTTTACACTTATACTTTTTTACCTGAAAACATCATCATGTGTTGGAAATTCCAGCCAATCTTATGTCTTCTGCCCAAGTTGAGGAAGAAGGAGAGTGGGTAGATATGCGCAGCTCTACCCAGGAAGATGGCAACCTGACCACCAGGTGGAGGTTAAGGGCCCAACAGATTTCCAGAACAGCACTTCCACACAACCTCTAAGTAGAGAATTTTAAGAATGCTGTGACACCTCATTACGCTCCAGAGAGCTTCCCAAACATGCCCAGTTGTCTAAGTTTCCCTCTGGACAAGTCTCTCAGCAACAAAATGACATTTATTTAACCAACTTTTCTCAACTCCTGGTTCACAGAGATCATTTCTACCCTGTTAAACACACTGTTGCAACTTCTTGATTTAATTCAACTGGTATTGACCAATTTCCCAATCTAACTAGAAATGAGTCCAGAAATAACCTAAAGTGCCATGACAGGAGTAGAGGAGCTGAGAGAAGAAAAGTGTGTGTTGGGCTCTACTGGAAGAAAAATTACAAGAAGAAAAACTTACTAACCCTGGAGTCAAACTATAAAGAGAAAATCTGCTGGATAAGTACTTGCAAATTTTATTTTAGGGACTCTAATACCAGGAAGATCCTGCAAATAAGAAGTGGGGAAAACTACAAGTATACATAACACTAAAAGACATTCAGCTCACTCTCAAGAATCACCCAGGGGAATTTCTCTACCTAAGTAGCTAAAATGTCTTTTGGAGATGTAAGAAATGGAAAAAGAGTGTGGAAAAGGAACTCTGCTGTGGAAACCAAATAATTCAGGGAAACTGGCCCTTTGTCACTTGCTGAGTTTAAAACAGCATCCAACAGAGAGAGCTGCACACACCCCTTGTCACAGAAGGAAACCCCTGTGGGAGCCAGAGGAATGGGGAGCTTCCGTTTTGGCAAGGCACCAGCTGCAGGAGCTGCAGCTGTGTCAGACAGAAGCCAGGACGGAACTATCTTCTCTGCCTCCTGCAGGGTAAAGCATTGCCTGTTTTTCTTCTTTTCTTTCTATTTGTTTTGTTTTGAACAGAAAGAACCAGGTAGTGCTTATAAAGCACATTCTATCCCAGAAGCAAAGCAAAGGTTCTTAAGTGGTAAGCAGTCTTTAGGATCCACAGAGGACCTGGCTCACCCTCCACCAGACCCTCATCTGTAAACAAGGGCTGTGCTCTCAGTATCTCTCACAGGGAGCCATGCCAGTAATACAAATCAAAGCAACATGCAAGATCTTTCTTTCTTTCTTTCTTTCTTTTTTTGAGTTGGGGTCTTACTCTGTCACCCAGGCTGGAGTGCAGTGGCACAATCATGGCTCACTGCAGTCTTGACCTCCTAGGCTCAGGTGATCCTTCCACCTCAGCCTCCCAAGTTAGCTGGGACTACAGGCCTGCCCCTGCTAATTTTTTGTATTGATTTCTTGTAGAGACAAGGTCACACTATGTTGCGCAGGCTGGTCTTAAATTCCTGGGCTCAAGCAATCCTTCCACCTCGACCTCCCAAAGTGCTGCAATTAAAGGCATGAGCCACTATGCTAACTTGAGAGCTTTCTTAAGGAAGAACAAAAACAGCAATCCCACAGATTTTTAGGTATTAGTCTGTTGAGCATGTAAATCCAAGAAATGGGCCACCAGTTTAAGTATATGATACTCTAACTAGAAGGACTCCTGCACTGCATTAGGCCACTATCACTGTCTAGCATCTTAGTGTCAGTCATTTCTACACAATAAATGAAAAGCACAGAAGAGAAAAACACTCCATTTTTGCCAGTATTCCAGGACTAAGGATACTCATGCAGCCTCAGAAAAGGCAAGAATGAATATCTAGCAATAGAAGACCTCTGCTCAGTATCCTGACATCAAGCCCCATTTTATTCACTTTAATGAAAACAATACAGGCTGGACGCTGTGGCTTATACCTGTAATCCCACCACTTTAGGAGGATGAGGCAGGAGTATTGCTTGAGCCCAGGAGTTCCAGACCAGCTTGGGCAACATAGCAAGACCTCATCTCTACAAAAAAAAGAAATAAAACAAAACAAAGCAACCCAGTAGTATCTGAAGCCAAGTCAGAGAAACCCTCAGCTGTTGATCCAGTGCTAGGCACTCACATCTCTCCTCACTTGAGAGAAGCCAACACCCCAAATTGTCTGTCTTCCAGAAAATACACTCACAATGGGCCTACATCAAGTAACCAAGTATTTTTCCATTTGATCTTTTCTTCCCCTCATTTTAATTTTTCCTTTTATTTTGGGGGCAGGAGGAGTCTTTTCTACGGTCATCTGTAGCAGCAGGGCAGAAGGGGGTGCAGTTGAAAGTAAGAGCAGCAGAAACTTCAGGCTGTCCCAATCAAAGAATCTCCTGGATTGGAATTCATGTGGCAATGAAATATCAAAAATAATTCTGGGAATTGACATGGTTGTTGACTGTTAGATTTACCAAGAAGGGCACTTTACAACAAAAACTATTACTTGCCAAGCACTAGTTTAATAGAAAGACCATTTTATATAACAAAATGCAGAAAGGACACTCTTAGAATAAATGCAACCCTTTAAGTCAAATACATTTAGCTTTATGAAACACCACATGCCTTCTTTTTCTCTTTATAAAAACACCATAAACTAACACTGACCCAGTCACCCACCCAAAATAGAAATATAATTATTATTATTATTATTATTATTATAGCTTCCCCAGCAGTGGTTGCCTCTGCATGTAGAAACTGGTAGAACACGAAAAGGATACAAAAGCGCCAATGATGAAAATGGGGCTGAAAACATGCTTCTGGAAGGTAAACAGCGCCAGGCCCATGTAGGAGAAGATGAAGTTCTCTGCCAGGAAATGTAACACCTCAAAGAGCTGCATGGAGAAGAGAAAAGGAGGCTGTAAACTATGCAGTTCCTCTTTCCCTATATCAACAGGCAACTCATAAGTACCAACACTCTCTCTCACCTGCTTGGTTCGACTTCTTGATTCCACCGATAGATTGTTGTAAGTGTAATGAGCTTGTGTGATTCCACAGAAAAGAACAGCTACAACACCTGCCAGGAGATTTTTAAAAAATCAATGGGGAAAAAAAAGATGCAGGAAAAAAAACCCTGCTGAAAAAAAAAGTTAAGGTAGGAAAGCCCAGCATATCCAACTTCCTGAATATTTTTCAGTTTCCTATTTCCCCCAACTTCCCCCTTGCTCCAGTTGTAAGGGCACCACCTCCCAAACTCTTACTACCATCTGTAGTTCATTCTCTCAAAGAAATTGTGAGTGCCCATCATACATATTTGTCACATTCCTCTCTGTTTTTAGAATGAATTAATTTAATTTTAAACCAATGCTTTATATTTTTGCATGGTCTGCAGCTACAAACAAAACAGATTGAGAATACTTTTCCATATATCCAAGCCCTGATGACCTAGATTTCTGGTTAATGGTAACCATTTTGATGTGCAAGACAGTTGACATATAGGACTCTGTCTATATGTTTACAGAAAACTGGTAAGTTTTAAGAAAGTGGTGCATTTTGTGATGCTGCATATAAACATAAGTTGCTGTATTTTGAAAAGGTGATAAAAGAACATCCTAAGTACCTGGATTATGCATAGCAACTGTACTTGGGCTTTCTAATGGAAAAAAATCAGTGATTTTTTTTTTAATGTGAGGAACTAAAACCACATGCTTAACTACACTAATATTATATAAAACTGGTACCATAAAACCATGGTGTTGAAAAACAATGATTAAATAGCCCAGAGACAAGACAATGAAAAACTAGGTTCACACTCATCTGAATAGATGCAAAATTACCTTTAAAAAGACACATATTTTGCTTGCTCTTGTTACTGTTTATAAAATAACATAAAGCCAGGCTCGGTGGCTCAGCCTGTAATCCCGCGCCTTTGGGAGGCTGAGGTGAGTGGATTGCTGAGCCCGCGGGTTCGAGACCCGCCTGGGCAGCGAGACCTCATCTCTACAATAAATCAAAAAATCAGCTGGGCATGGTAGCGCGCGCCTGTAATTTCGGCTACTTGGAAGGCTGAGGCGGAAGGATCGCCAGAGCCCAACAGGTCGAGGCTGCGGTGGCCGGGAGCAGCCACTGCACTCCAGTCTGGGCGACAGAGTGAGACTCCAACTCAAAAAAAAAAATAAATAACATAGTCAAGGGGAGGCAGCAAATAAGGTTTTAACATATTCAGTGACCTTTGTAGCTATACATCTACTTATATAGGGAGTATCCAAAAAATCAGAATTTATTTATAAAAGTTATTTATAAAATCGTGTGGTTATTCTTACATGTTTAAACTTCAGTTGCCTTCAAAGTACTCTTCGTTTGATGAAACACACCTATCAAGATGCTTTTTCCACTACTCAAACCAGTTTTTGAACTTGTCAATTTTTATGCCTTTTAGTGCTTCTGCCATTTTTTTTTCACCTCTTCCACATGGGCAAAAGTTTTCTTTTTGAGGACTTTTTTCGTCCAGAGAAACAAACAAACCAAAAAAAGTCACTCACAGTGAGATTAGGTGAATAGGGAGGGTGGGCCATGGAGCTCATGCCGTTTTCAGTCAAAAACTGAACACTCAGCACAGTGTGGGCAGGTGCGCTTGTAAATCACCCATCATGAAATGGGCAAACATGTTGAAAGACTTTCCAAAAAAATTTCACTGAAGCCAAACACAGCCTCTCACAACAATGCTAGCTGGCACACTGATACCAATGGGTTCCCAGAATACTTACCTAGCAGGAGAAGTCTGTACTACAAGGGGCCTGCCCTCCAAAAGATAATTCCAGTTTTTACGTCCCCCTCATATTAGCCTGAGTACTCAAAAACATAACTGAATTTGTAATGATAAACTTTATCTTTAAAAAATCTGTAGCTTTTGGAAATTAAATGATCCATTAAGACAGAACACTAGTCTTGCTCGGCAATCCTCCACACAGACAATCACTGACCAGTGACTGACCTCTATGCAGCTGCTATCTAAGAATTCTTCCCTTCCTTCAAGCTCCTGCCATCCCCACTACAGTGAGGGGAAGGGTGGCCCAAGAATAGAGAAAACCCACCTGTGAATCCGCAGGCTTCTGCTAAGAGAAACGTGCTCCAGGACATGAGAAAGAAGAGTGCCGTTTCCAGCAGGGGGAAGCAGTGCAGCTTGGTAAACTTGGTCACGTCAGCATCCTGTCAAGGATAGCATCTCCGGGCATGTGTATAGGGCCACCAAGAACTACACTCTATTAGTCTAGGATCCCTCCCTAAGGGCTAGCCTTTCCCTTTAATTCTTCTTCTGAGGCCCTAAAACTGGTAGAGATTTTTTAAAATAATAAAAATCAAGCTTTCCAGTAGAACACAGGTTCCCAGAAGCTGGGGAGGAGAGGGGAATGGGGAGATATTGTTTAATGGGCACAGAGCTTCTGTTTGGAATGATGATGAAAAAAATCTGGAAATAGGGAGGTTGGTACATGACACTGTAAATGTACTTAGTGCCCTCTGAATTATGTACTTAAAAATGGTAAAATGGCAAATTTTTAAAGATATATTTACCACAATTTAAAAAAATGAATAATGTAATATACCAAGAACCACTGACTTGCACACTTTAGAAAGGTGACTTGCATGGTATGTGAATTGTATCTCAATAAAGCTGTTTTTTTAATTTAAAAAATTCAGCTTTCTAAAGAAACTAGCAACTGGTTTTTTTATCCTCCTTGCAATGCATCTCCTGAGAGATGTAATCATGGCCTCAGGTTTGCTTGGTGGGTTAGTTCTGGCAGGGCTGTGAAGATGAGGCCCATGAGACTCTGATCCCTGTGCACCACTGAGGCATGAGTTCACAGCAAGTGCTTAATGAAGGTATGGGAAGGAAAGAAAGAAATGTACAATTCCCAGGGCAGCTACAAGGTGCTAGTGTCACCTTTTGGGACCAGAGCTCCTTCTCCTACCACTGCCATTCAATGTGGAGCCAGTATAGAACCATCTCATGATTGGTTTCACTGCGCAGTATAAGTCCCCAGGGCATCAAAAGGGCCTCTGTGAAGAAAGCAATAGCAATCTAAATCTGTGCTATCTGACACAGTAGCCATATGTGGCTTATGAATACTTACAATGTGGCTAGTCCAAATTAGGATTTGCTATGAGAGCAAGACACACACCGTATTTTAAAGGTTTGGCACAAAAAGTGAATGTAAAAAATCTCAATAATAATTTTTATAATAATATTGATTTATGTTAGAATGACGTGGCTTGGATTACATTTGTAATGCCCATCAAAAAGGATATAATGAAGGACTCACCACACCCATGGAGGGGTTGCCCACTCTTTCCATACTCTGCTCTTATGTTTGCTTGAATGTTGTACCATTCTTCACTTATAGAAGGCTACCATGCAGTAGTTACTACTGATGGCCCCAGCTAGCTATGGCCACATAACGCAATATGGTCCTGAACAGCAGTTGGTAGCAGCTAGCTTGGATGAAAGTATTTCCCAGCCTATGGTGCCTGATTCCTAGCCTCCTCCTGGTTCCTCAGCCCTTTTTACCCCCTAAAACTGGTGCTTCAACTGGTTCATAAGAAAGGGAGAGGAAAAGCAAAGGTGATGACAGAGCGAAGTCTAGGATTGCACTCACAAACGTTCCCTCAGACTCTTGGCCAGGGGCAGCGCAACTGTCATGCTTCACCAAAGGGACCCATTTCAGGAGGCTCCACACCCTAGTGGAACAATCAACTTAAGATTCTAATCTGAAAGGAAGAACTGCGAACTTCCTTTTTGTTTTTGTTTTTTTTGTTTTGTTTTGCTTTGTTTTGAGTCAGAGTCTCACTATGGCACCCAGGCTGGAGTGCAGTGGCACAATCATAGCTCTTCACAGCCTTGACCTCCTGGCCTTAGGCCATCCTTCTGCCTCAGCCTCCTGAGTAGCTGGGACTACAGGCACAAGCCACCACCCCTGGCTAATTTTTTTGTAGAGAGAGTCTCACTATGTTGCCTAGGTTGATCTCAAACTCCTGGGCTCAAGCGATCCTATCACCTTGGCTTCCCAAAGTGCTAGGATTACAGGTGTGAGCCACTGTGCCCAGCCAGAATTTTCTTTTTGAAAGTGTAATATCACACATGGATACCCAGGCAGGGGTGGAAACTACTAAAAGGATATTAGAGCAGTCACAACACCAGTCACGGCTCCCATGGTAAAAGAGCCACTAAATATACCTAGAAAAATGCCAACTGACTTAAAAAAGGCAGCAGCATCAAAGGCATGGGTGTTCAGTCCCGCTGGCTGGTAGGCAACAATAGACCTAAAGTTTAAAAAGAAGAAAGAGTTTAGAAAGACCACACTGGTTTTATACCATGTATCTAAAAATATTGACAAACATAGGTATCTGTACTTCACCAAGCATTGTCCAAGGTAAATTCATTTAATTTTATCTGCAGCCACCATGTTATGCTGGTGTTAGGATTCTGGTCGTTGCTGAGCAGACAAAGCAACACAACTTTACCAACAGAGCTGATAAATCTCATTTAGAAAAATGCCCAATGCAGCATTTAACGCTTTTAAGATAGGCCTCTGAATTTAACCCAAACATGCAGGAACCCAGGATCTCTCTTTCCCAGCAGAAAACATTGCTACTTACGAAGACAATACAATAGCAACGGCATCATTTAGGACGCTCTCTCCAAACAGAAGTGCATAAAGATCCACGTCTGCATGCAATTCATTAAATATTGCCAGCACAGTCACTGAAAAGTGGGCCAAAAGCACAGAAATTAGGTTTTTTTTTTCTGACCTTGAACCATTGATTACAGATTTATGGGTGAGAATGGGTGGTTCAGGAGACAGCAGGGGAATGAAAGAAGGATTGTCTATCTATGGCAGAAATGAAAACGGCAACCTTCCTCGTCTGAATGAGGTTTGAGATGATGCTTGAGTCTAATGACACTGCACCAAAACACTGAGCCTTCCACTGTGATCCCATCACACTTTGAAAATACCTGTTACAGCTGGGCTCGGTGGCTCAGCCTGTAATCCCGCGCCTTTGGGAGGCTGAAGTGAGTGGATTGCCTGAGCCCGCGGGTTCAAGACCCGCCTGGGCAGCGAGACCGCATCTCTACAATAAATCAAAAAATCAGTCGGGCGTGGTAGCACATGCCTGTAATTCCGGCTACTCGGAAGGCTGAGGCGGAAGGATCGCCGGAGCCCAGCAGGTCGAGGCTGCAGTGGCAGGGAGCGGCCACTGCACTCCAGTCTGGGCGACAGAGCGAGACCCCAACTCAAAAAAAAAAAGAAAATACCTGTTACAGAACTTTAAAAAAATAATCACAACGAATGCAATTTGGTTCCATCAGTGGGTTGAAATCTCTCTGAAGGCACAAACCCTATTTTACTAACCACTGTGCTCCCAGAACCCAGCATAGAGTCAGGGCACAGAGAAGACTTTAAGAAAGGTTTGTGAAATAAACACGTTCATTTATGACAGCTATACTAGTTTTCACATTTCTTAGGTATTTAAAAATCAGATCAGTTCTCAAACTTTTTGCTTCAGTACTTTTTTACATTCTTAAAATTACTGAGGCCCCCAAAGAGCCTTAGAGTTTTGTGAACTATAGCTATAGATATTTACTATATTGAATAAAACAGAAAAAATAAATATTTATTCATTTAAAAATCAATAATAACCCATCAAATGTTAACATGACATTTTTTTCTTTTTTAGAGACAGGGTCCACTCTGTGGGCCAGGCTGGAATACAGTGGTGCCATCACTGCAGCCTCAAATATAGCTCACTGCAGCCTCAAATTCCTGGACTCAAGCGATCCTCCTGCTTCAGTATCTCAAGTAGCTGGGACTATAGGTGCATGCCACCATGCCCAGCTAATTTTAAAATTTTATATAAAGATGAGGTCTCACTATGATGCCCAGGTTGGTCTTGAACTCTGGCCTCAAGCAATCTTCCCATCAAAGCCTCCCAAAGTGCTGGGATTACAGGCATGAGCCAACATGACATACTTATAACAAAAGGTAATTATATTTTCTACCAAAACAAAAAAAGTGAATGAAAAGAAAGCCATTGTTTTTGTTTTGTTTTGTTTTGTTTTTGAGTTGGAGTCTCACTCTGTTGCCCAGACTGGAGTGCAGTGGCCACTCCCAGCCACCGCAGCCTGGACCTGCTGGGCTCCGGCGATCCTTCCGCCTCAGCCTTCCAAGTAGCCGGAATTACAGGCATGCACTACCACACCCGGCT